AAAACTAAACACAACACAAGAAGGTCAAACTTTCTGTTTAATGGTAATACATGCCTTCTCCCAGTTCCCGGACAGATCCAGGGTAAAATAACTGAAAGGTACTATCTCAAGGAAGGAAAAATAGAAAGAAAAGGTTCAGTTGCATACGCTTTCAAATCAGACAGTGATTTCTGTATTTCTTTTTTTCTCCAAATTGCAGAGACCCAAACTTATTTCATTCATTATGAAACCGGCGCTCTATGACAACAGTATTGGCAAAAGGCTGCCCAGCTCTGTGTCAAGCCACAGTACACAGGACTGTTATTGCTTCCATTGCCACCTCATCAAAAACCTCAATGAGAGACAAACCAGGGCAGGAACATTTGATGCTAAATGTAATGCAAATGTAAACTAATTTATAACATCTCCTGCTATGTTCTTAAAGGCAGGTGGTGCTTCAACAAAACAGGAGTCAAGGAAGCCCGGAGGAATGTGTTTAATGGTAATACATTCCAGGTTTTATTCTATTTGCATTTTATTACACAGAAAGAAAACCGCGTGTCTTCCTAGTTTGACTTTGGTTTTTTCATTTTTATTTGTTTCCTACAAATTTGCTGGGTGAAAAGACTGCAAGCAGAAGTCAATAACAGAGAACATATTCCAGGATTGAGCCGAACAGGCTTGCTTCTTCATTGGCCAATCACAGGTACCTGAATTACCTTTTACAGCCTGGTATAATATCCAGTGGTGCTTTTTGTCACTGATCAGACACAGAAGCCAATTGCAGTCAAACCCAAAGAGCAAACAATGCAGTAAAACAGGTCATACAGCTGCAACACATTTTGTAATGAAATCTAATACTGACTCCCCTCTTAGGACAGCTGAACTTCACTGCATGGCAGTGAAATACAAGCAAAGGCTCCCTGCTGCCAGACAAAATGTTACAGTAGAAGAAAGAAACAGATTTTAAAAAGCTCAAATAATGATGACACGGTGCAGCATTAACACGTAACACCAAAAATAAAACATACAAAAAATAGGCCTTCAGTCCCTAAAAACTACTTTGACATCTCCATCCAAAACACAAGACTGCTCTCCTCAGGTTTCTTTACGCTTCTTTCCGTGTTTGTCCGTCACACCGTTCATGATCTATGCCCCAGTGACTGTGGAAGACAACCTTTGTGATCAGACTACATGGAGCTATCAGCCATGAGACTTTTATTTCTGTTTGTTCTGTTGTTTTACATTGGTCAGCATTACATCCCCAGTAAAAAATATCTTGTTTTAGTGTACTAATCGTGCAAGGAAGATTTTGAAATGAAAGCATGCTATTTTCTGTATACGTAAGAACAAGTTGCTTTCATTTTCTGAGTTTCTTAGCTATTAGCTATTTCTTATCTTTTTTGGTTCTTTTCCTCTACAGGATAAGCAAAGATAAGAAAACAATGCAAAAGTGAAAAAGCAGTGGGACTTGTCCAAATCTTCTCCATGCATACGTAAGCCGTATGAACACAGATGCAGTATCAACACCAGTTCTGTTAAAAAGAATACTGCACTATGCCAGGCATACTTGAATTTCATGAAATCACGAACTCAACACCCAGTAGAAGTTGGAATAAAATTGAAGACCTTCCACTTTATTTCCACAACATGTCTATCTTCCAAAAGCTCTGGGAAGTTCTGATCCCTTCCTTAAAGGTACTGGAAAAGGTACAGAAAAAGGCAATAAAAATGATTCAAAGCGTGAGATAGCTGCAAGGTCCAGCTAAGCAAACCAAAACCTAGAATAGAAGTAAGAGAGGAGGGAAGAAAGTAAGTAGCAATGGAAAACAGTTTTAACTTATTTTTAACCATTTTCCCTAATAAGAGCTATAACGTTGGAGGATCAAGTGCACTACAAAGAGAAGGCAAGGACAACGAATTTTTCCTAACGAGAATACACTGTGCACAGAAAAAAAAAATAAAATTAGCTACAGCTGGTTGGGATGTTTCAGAGGTGATTAGTACACTGTTCATAGCTCTGCTCCAATTAAATGACTGTTCTAACGCGGTTCTTTTTGTAGGAGACATGGAGTTTTAATTGATGATTCGTTTCTCTCTGTCCCCTTAAAAGAAGACTGCCACCTTTCACAGGGACAGCACTATGCCATCCATGCTCTAATCCCTGTGCCAACAGATAACAAGTCTCAGTGCAAGTATTTAGCATTCAAGACAGTCAAGACGTCCTAGTTCCAGGTCACCTTGTTCTAGTTTCATATCAAACATTTCCTATCAACATCAATTTCATTCCAATAAGCTTCATAACATCCCTTAAAAAGCCAGTGTCTCAGTAGAAGGTTTTCCACAGCTATAACTCTAAACAAAGAGAATAGTTTAAGCAGTTGGGCTGTACAAGGATGAAGCCTGTGTGTCAGTCCATGTTAATGCACAGCCTCTGTGAGCCTAGCCAAGCCAAAACTCTGGCAGTTACAGCTGTTTTCAGCAGTATTTATATCTAGATTTACATATAAAATAAAGAAAAGGTGATGGTTTTCTCCATAAGATGTTGAAACTTGTCAAAGAATGGTGTGCATGCTTAAGAACTACTTCACAAAAAGAAGTCAGTGGAAAAAAGATCCCCAGATAAGGACTATAAACATAGAAATCACCACTAGGTATAAAAGGCCCTCAGCCAAACAGGACTGCTATACAAGCACTAAGAGAGGAAGGAGCACTCACACACCCTGCTGTAACTCCTCCTTTAGTACTCTGGATCTCTCAGACAGAATGCTGAGCTAGGTCAGCCTGTGGTTTGACCCAGTATGGCTGCTCTTGTATATCAGACATCCTGATATTCCCTTCCAGGGTGCCACCCATGCATATGGAAAGCTGTAAGTAACAGTTATTTAAGGGCTAGTAAGCACAAATATTCTCCTATGTAGAAAACATTGGAGTCTGACACTGACTTGGTGAAAACTGTATCTACATCCTTTAACTGATTGAAAAATGCAACAGTGAAATGAATAAAAGATCATTAAAGCTGTTGTGAAACAAAATATGTTCCTTACCTAAGAAGCAAAGCAAAACCTTAAATACAATGGAAGCCTAACACTGAAAAACCACTATAGAACTGTTCAACTAGAAAAGGATGAAGCAAATTTCCATTTTAGAGAATAAACCTGTTAAAAAAGTAACAGATCATAGACAATAATCATGCTCAAAAAAGTAACATCACAGTATACTGTATTTCATAATCAAAAACCTTATGGATCAATGGCAAGGCATGACATTTGAACTAAGGAGAATCACCAAGGAGATGAACAGGTAAGACACAAAAGATACTTCAAACACCCACATCTCACACATCCAATAACTAAGATCATCTCTTTTTTTTCTCCTTAACCCCCTCTCCCTTTAATCCAAGAGTCTTCCAGTTAACTCTTCTGTCACTGTTTTCTGCTAGGGATTTTTGAAGTCCTGGAAGGAAGAACCTCGTTAATTAGCTAGTTACCCGTGCAAACACAGTGCATGGCTACTTGTGTTCCTGACAGATTAACAGAATTAACTTCATGTGTTATCAGTAAAAAAAGGTAAAAAAAAGCACGGTTCTGTCTTGTCAGATATCCCATTTTCAGCCACATTACTAATATGAAAAACAGGCAAAGAGTCTGCAGCCCTCACTACAATTAGATAGGAGAAAAGCAGATAAGTGATAACTGCACATTGAGCTATTTCAAAGAAACCAGCTGTGTCTCATGCTTGCTCTTATGATTGGTACCAATTATTTCACGTGCCCTTCTGTACGGAATCATGTGAGAGCAAATGTAATCCTTACCTAAAAATTACAATCAGTCTTTTAACACAGTAATTACTCACTTGGAAAACAGGGTGTACATAATTACAAAAAGAGGTATGTCAGAGTCAGTTTTATACTATGTGCAGAAAAGAAACCATGTCAATGGTGTAAAATGACTTTGAAGACTTTGCTTGCATTTGTGGAAAACAACAATAAATAGCTAACAAAATTATGAGAACTGAAGTTCTTAATGGAAGAAAAGTTCCTTTTCTTTGTATTCTTTATAAACTGTGATTGCCAAGTAGAAAAAAGCATACGTATCCATGTATTGCTGGAAAAGTAAGCAACCTCCAGATCTTTCTTGAACGTTTAACCTCTCGTGTGATAACATTTTCTTTTTACATAGAACCACCTGCACTTGCTGAAAATTCCACTCTGTTCCCCAAATAATGACAACGTTAGCTGTCAATGCCACATTTCAGTGCTATTGCTTAGAGCCCCTTTAGGAGGCTAAAAATTGAGTGCTTTCACCTTACTTTAGATAAAGGACTCCCAGCTCACAAGTAAAGACCGTTTGGGGTGTCTGCAGTGTTGAGCATTATTATCTGCTGGCATATATTCTTCAGCAGTGCTGTTGCTATCGCTGCGAGCAGATACAAGCTACCCTAGCAGCAGCTTCTGAATTACCAGTTTACAGGTTGTCATATTAAGGTTAACTATTGCCAATTTTACGTTAACACCATATGCCAGACTGTAAACTGTCTTCACACTGAAGTCACAATATAAGCAACTCAGTTCTTTACTGAAGCAAGAAGCACCATCGCTTCTTGAAGCTTGAGCTTGAGCTCCAAGCTCACTCAGGACACAGGCGCCCACAGAGACAGATCAAAGTACCTAGACATGGGAATACCAGCAAGATCACGTGTTTGTAAATCATTTTCAGCTCACATAATCATCTGATTTCAATCAGTGCCCTGAAAAAACTGTAGTCTGACAACATTACAAAAGTCCACCTTCCTGCTGAATTTGCCTTACACTTCAGCAACAACAGTTAAAATCGATGTAGACTTTTATAATATAAATGAATCTCAGCTCTGAGTAAAGCCATGGAAACCTCTCAGCTTCACTTTGCTGGTCGTTGAAATCAGTCATAAGAGGAAAAAAAACAGCTGAACTAACACACAATCTTCAGGCCCAGCCAGTGACCAAGAATTGAGTTTTTAAGGTTAAATTAGCATTAACTTACCAATTGATGCATCACCATCCAAGAGATTGTCATCTTCAGAGGTCTGAAAGTCCATAATTACACCCGCTCCATCTAGAAGCTCCTCATCGCTGCTTGCACTGGTTATGCTGTTGTAACTGTTTCGATAGTAGCCTCTATGAAACAGCTGCTCAGACTCCATTTAGCTGCTTTATAACCTACGAAAAGAAAACGTGTTACTTCATATTTGAAAATGCAAAACAGATTGAGGTTTATCTCAAATGAAACAACACTATGATTTAAACTTACATAAATGTAGCAGTAATACAGACTATTATAAAGCATTTTAAACAAACATTTTCTGACATTTAACTGGTCGATGCTTCTTCACCCCTTTTCTTGGGCTCTCCTATGTTTAAGAAAGTATTTAACTTTCAGTAAATGTGGCTGAAATGTGCATGCCCCACACAAACATGCACTGCACCACACCACGGTGCTAGCATCAAATCCATTCAGTGCTCAGGTTCAAAACCAATTTTATCTTTGTGCTGTGTCTCCTTAGTCTGTCACCTGTTTCACTCCAAACACTCCAAAGCTGTAGTCCCACAAACACAAAGGTGCACATTATTTTCCAAGGAAAAAATAGCAAAAGTGACAGCAATTCAAAATGTGCACATCTACACAAAGCTTTCAAAACACATACACACACACTTTGCATACAATCTTTGGCCTTGCAAATTAAGAGCCACAGAAACGACTTCCTGATCAGAAAGGAGCTAAGTCATGGCCACATCTTGATTCCATGCTCTAATTTACCCTAAGCGTGTCTTGTATCTCTCATTTCTCAAACATCATCATACTTTATTAGCTCCCAGCAGCCCAACCTCAGAAAAGTCATGGAACTGTGGAACTATGCAACTACCTCCTTCACAGTCAGTATCTTGGCTTCTGAAACAGAAAGAAGTTGCTTTCAAGTAAAAGCAAAGGACAACACCTGAACAAGGAGTACTACCAACAACATTTCTGCAGTTCTCTTGAGAAGTCCTCAGGTTGCAGAACAGGGCTTTCCCTTCTCCAGGTTTCTACTCTAAGCTGGATTTTCAACTTTAACTGGGGGGTATGAATAAGATTCAGTTTTTATCCCATCCCTGACTGTGATCTTTTCACCTAGATGGATGTTTGAAAAGCATGAGTTTCACTCAGTCCACCTGGATTAAGGGCTATGAATCTTCTGCCTTTCCAGCAAAAGCCAAAGAATTTCTAGTATTGTTTTCCCAGGAAGGTGTATCAGGAAAAGAAATTTACAATTAAAACCACTTTAGCAATGACTGTACTATATACAGCAATGTATTATATATAGCAGTGACTGCTTTTTGATAAAATGTTTTGTATTCATAAACAGTAGATGACAAAGCATCATCCACCTTTTTTCAATAATAAGAAATACCTCATTCCCTCCAAAGGAATGAGATGCTCCCCCCAAATCCAGATCTTTTCCTCGTGCACTTTTTCTTCTGCTTATCCTCACATTCTCTAACAATTCCCTGTAACTCCTACAACGCTAAAATATCCACCATAAACATCCAGCCAGCTGGCAGCTCTAAAAATAGGTGATAGGACTTCTAATTCCAATCCCTCTCCTCTACCCAGCTGTTGGGTCTCGTGAAGTATACCTAAACTGGTTGGCCAATGTCAAGAGTTGTTTGCAGAGTTGAAACTCTGCACTGGCAAACAGCTCAGTCTTCTAAGCAGCAAGCGAGTTACCATAAGAAGGAATTAAAAGTTAAGTGACAAAGTTTGCTGGGTAGCTGCAGATAGAACTGTGAGCATGAGCAGTTTGGTGGTAACACAAAATTCCGTACTGACAGCTGTGAATCAAGACATGTTGAGGGCAGGGAGGCAACAGAATCAACCCTCAATTCCCTGTGGGTTCTGACGTGACACCTGCCACTCACAAACAAGATGCCAAGGAAATGAGAAAGAGCTTAATATGCACCAGTAGTTCTCCAATTAATCTGATATAAAGTACCACCAGGTGAGAACTTCATACTGTCAGAAGTCCAAATTACAGAAGATTATATATGGAAGATTACAGAATAGCTACAACTTTTTCTTTAGGCCAACAAAGCTGACCAGAACTCCTCAGTCTGGAAAAGATGCAATGCAGAAGATGCAAGATGTCAGCAGAATCACACAAAGAAAGCCAAAGTTATGAGCTGTTCTTCGATAGTCTGTGTGTCACAATGAAAGAGGTGGCAAGAAAAGGGCCATCTCTTCACACAGAACACAGGGATGTAAGCAGTGGGATCTTTGCCACTTTGCACGAGTATCCAACCGTTCCTAAAGCACATAAGTCAGCCATCTGTCCCTTAACTCAAGCAAAGCTTCCTGCAAAACTTACATGAGGACAGTACCTACTGAGAGAGGTTATGCAGGCATAAAACAAAAGCAGATGAAATAAAAATGTTGAATGTGATCTTCACGCATATGAATGTGTTCTATAGTTGAAAAGATGTAATAGCAGTAACAGAGGAGTTATTTGCTGGAAGTTTAAGAAGAAAAAAATATATACAATTCTAAAGGGTTTACATGATAAGAACCTTGAAATGTGATCTTTGATATAAACTAATCAGAAATTCCAAATACAACTCATTTCCTCATCTTTTAACCACGTTAACAAAGCCCAGAAAGGACAAGTTGGTGTCTTCTTTTATTTTACAGAAGAACCCCGTGGGACCTTGACAGAACACAAAAAGGCTAACAGCTGATTTTAACCATTTGTGTTTTGTGACAGAAATACTGAAGATCTGATCACACTAGAATACTGGATGTACCTCTTGATTGCATTTTTTGGTTGCAGTAGTGCTATGTTTAGTATTGTTGTGGGTGTGAGTGGTGATGGGTATCAGTCCTTGGATCTGTTAAACTTCACAACTGAGTTCAGGCTTTTTACAGTCATCCTGGCTTACCAGTACTCCCTGCACAGTGATACCATTTCTTTTGACCCCTTCTTTCACCCCTTTTTACCAAACTGATTATGATTTGCATGTAACTCCTCCACAGTGTTTCCAAATTCCTAACAAACTGGAAAATGAATCAAGGGACCCATCTAATATCTGTTAGATGTGGTCACAAAAGAAATCTATCAGAAAGCCTTTTGCACTAATGCTTTTCAGTGTCACACCAGTCCATGAGTTCCATCCAAAACATGGCTGTTGGACAGTGCCTAAGTTTTAACAGGAGATGTGTATGTTTCTGGGATCACCTCTCTGTGATGGTTTGTACTGTGGAGGTATCCTGCACACACTGTCCTGTGAAAAGTTCCGTGGACTGTAACAATGCTTGAACTTGCCAAACTAACATTTATATCTCTCAGCATTTGAATTGCTTTGGAAATGCTCAAGTGGAAAGTTCTCAAGACACTAAATCATCTTAGAAAACATTACATGGCAAGTCCACATACTGTCAAATTAGGCTAGATAAGCTTTAATGAATTAACTGAAGTGTAACATTGTATGGCTGTCCACAAACACCACAACCTCTACTGAAGAATTCCCATCTGGATCCTGGCTTACACTGGGAGTTCCTGGGTGGGGAAAGCAGCTGACACAAATACCTAAGTTTGTTTAACTTATTTATTATTGTTGGTTATTGTTAACTGTATGGTCATTGCCAAATGTATGGTTGTCTCTTTTCACTTTCTACCTTTTATTCATCATGTAACATTTGTGTCACCACTCCTAAGGTATCATTGAGTGGTGTCTGTGGCAAATTGAATGATTCTAATTGTTGTCTAAAGATTGATGATAATGGTAAAGTTGTCAAGCAAATTGCCCAGGCTATATGGAAAATAGCCCATGTTCCTGTCCAAACCTGGAAAAGCCTAGACTTCGATTCCTTCTCCTGGCTTCCAGGTGGCCCATGGGTCAAATGTATCCTATTTTCTGCACTGTGTGCTGTTGCAACTCTTATGTTTGTACCTTGTATGATTCCATGTTTTATTCAATTTACACAACGTGTTGTATCCTCCGTGTACTTTGTAACCAGTTCAACTGATGATGGACAAGTCCAACAGATCAGGGCAACATTTGTAACCAAGCCCAAGAAATCTTTTGTAGTAATTGTGTAACGATTAGCTTCCCCTTCTCCCCCTCCCGCTTCTTTGCTGTCTTTATTTTCTCCCTTTTCTTTTCCTCACCACCGTGGAGGGTCACTTATGCTTCATTTCAAGCAATCTTTGAGCCACGGGGTGGTGTGAGAACCCTTCTTTGTTTTTTGGCTCAAAGCTTGCTTCCTGAGGTTTTTCTTGTGATAACACTGAGTGCTTTGTTGAGCAGGCAAGTGATGGGTGCTAAGCGTGTGACAATCAATTTCACTTTGGGAACATTTGAAAGCCCCTTCCTCCAGAGCTGCTTGCCTTCAGAAGAGAGTGCTCAGGAGTGCTGTACTGGTGGAAGATCTGTCCTGTGACAAAACAGCTCCAGCTAGGTATGGGAAAATTGGGCAATGATACCATCGTGTTCTGTGAGAAACAGGATGCAGATGGGCATCCCTGCTCCCTCTTATCTGCTGGCAAGGCCCAGAAGATGGGAACAAAGGAGTTTCTGCTGGGATCCCAGAGCAAGAAGCTGCCACTCCAAGGAGAGCTGACTCGACCACTTTGGATTTGAGCTGTCACTCCAAAGATGGCTGACTCGACCGCTTTGAAACCATTGAACAGGGGCCATCATCACCATGGTCATCGTAGTCGTCGTTCTCGTTGTCGTTCTCCTCGTCGTCATCAACAGAACAGCAATGCCCGAAGACCCACCACTACTGAAGATCAAAGACTGAACTATGAACCACACTGGATCCATGGTGCTGCCTATCGCCCTCTTGCTTCCTATACAGACTCCTTGCTTCTTCTTTTCTATCTTTTCTATTGCTCTCCTTCCTTCCCCAATACCCTAATTCATAATAGTGTCCATCCTCCCCTTCCCCATTTCCCTAATCATAGAATCATAGAAGATTTATTAAGAAGATCATAGAAGATTAATTAAGATTTGTAATAAACTGGTCAGACCAACATTTGAACAGTTGTTTCTTAAAGTCACGCTGGGTATATAGATAATAAAAGAACCTCCTCTCCATCCTATAAATTGGAACGAGACAGGACTGAACCCCTATTTGCTCATTCTGTCACACGAAGAGAGCTAACAAGAACATGGTCCAGTGTACG